ATAGCCATCACTAGCGATTGTTGGTGAGAATTTACAAACTTGGACTGCAGAAGTTGTTAATTTTATCATGTTTAAGTAGAAGTAGTAATAGTAGTAGCCTATAATTAATTTTACATTCATTAAAATGGTGATGGGGCTGATTGCACTGAATGCAGGTTGCATCTAATGATAAGTTAATGATAATGTCTAATGATGCACTGGGCTTTCTGGAGACAATTCACTGTTGTCCCCAGACATGGGTCACTAGGTAACAAACCTGGATCTGGGACTTTCCAACTGAACCAGAGACTTTTGGGAAGTCCAATATGTTGTGGAGTATAACTTCAATGATTCTTGGTGGGGGCTCCCACCTGCGGCATGGTTGTTCCTTGGTGGAGGGGTTTTCATCCCGATACTCAGGGCTCTAGAAGATGGTGGGCCTACAAAGCTGGATACATTACTGGAGGGAAAAGCACAAACTCCCTTAATTTCTCTTCCATGTATGCATGACACTACTACAACATGTTACCACATAAATATAAGCTGCACAGGTATCTTACCTGGTTGGAAGGCTTGTGTAGGGGGGACACCAAACTGGAAAAATGGTCTCAGGGTTCTACCAACAACTTCTAGTTAGCAGAATACTTTTCAGAGGCAGTGAGAGGGACAGTTAGGCAAGACATTTTCAGCCACACAATGGGAGAAGGTTTTACTATGACGCTCAGTCAGCTTTCAATACCATTTTTTTTAGAATATGGGATCCTGTTCCACAGAATTTTCCTTACAGTCTCACCCACTTGTTGGACATGGGTGAGGAGGGACAGGATGTTGGGAGTGTCCAAAATTATTCCCTTCTGGGACAAGGTGAAAGAGGCAGTGCCCACTATACTTAGAGATTCCCTTATTTTAAATGTAGAACAGGCTTTGCTTCACATGACCTCTAAGTCAATATCAACATATAAGAAATCTGTCCTAAAGCATCTGCTTAATGTTGCAAAGGCCTTGATAGCTGCCCTCTGGAGAAGGGCTGAGCACTGGCTCCGAAGAGTTGAAGAGATAA